AGCCCCAGCTGTTAAAGCCACTTGAGGAGTGAACCAGCAGATCAAGAATATCTTTCTGTCTTCCTCCCTCTTATTATAACTCTGTCTTGCAAATAAATAAATCTTTTCTAAAAAATTAAAAGTAAAATAAAAAGATTAAAAGGTACTCTGTTAGGAGTTTATATGCACCAAAAACATTCATATGGCAGCCAAAAGGAAGAGTTGGCATACATAGGCATCAAAGGATCATCTTCGCAGTCCATGGGAGATCAAGTAGAAGCACTCCCCCTACCCCAGAAAAAGGCTGCAGACCTGAACAACATAACTAGCGCATTAACTCTGAGATATCAAACCGCACCTCCCCTCCTCAGTGACAGAACTGATTAATCTAACAAGCCTGCGCCCAGCATTGCCAGACTGCCCTCCTTCTGTGTAGAGCCGTGTGTCTACGTTCCAACGACACAGACGGAAGCAGAGCGGTGTGCAGCTTCTGGAAAATCTCCCCAGAGAGAGAGAGTTAGGTCTTTCCTTTTCCTTCCTTAGCCAGAAAAATGAATATAATGACTCAAACTTTAGCACCTTCTTACACTGCATGCACAAGGTTGTGTGTACAGGACATGAGAAAGATCTTGGGTTCCTAAGAACTTTGAAAACTACCAGTGCCAGGCTGCCTAAGTCTAGATTTTGTTGCTAAATAAATAAATAAAACTCTGAATTTGTGCTTTTATGGTTGGGTTTCTGTAATATGCACCTGCACCTGATCCAAATGGATATAAACTTGAAAGGAAAAAATACCCAAAGACTATTCACAAAAACTGACCGTTACTTTAAGACAAATACTTAGACAAACCAGACCCTGGAAAACAGATGGGGAAATTAGCCCAAAACAGGAGAAGGGCCGTCTCTTCCTCTGAGACCACAAGGAGACCAGGTGCACATACAGGTAAATTGCTAGGCAGGCAGGAAGTCGAGGGCTTTCCCCCATCATCACTCCAATTTCCTTTGTAAAACAGAAGCCAGAAACATTTCAAAGTTAGGGGAGCAGGTGGATAGAGGGTAAGGAGCCTTGCTTGCTTCAAATGAAGAAAAGGAATGGGTATTGTCAGTTTTGTCCTTATTGCTCATCAGATAGAAAACTAAAATCCTTGGCCGGCGCCATGGCTCAATGGGCTAATCCTCCGCCTTGCGGCGCCAGCACAACGGGTTCTAGTCCCAGTCGGGGTGCCGGATTCTGTCCCGGTTGCCCCTCTTCCAGGCCAGCTCTCTGCTGTGGCCCGGGAGTGCAGTGGAGGATGGCCCAAGTGCTTGGGCCCTGCACCCCATGGGAGACCAGGATAAGTACTTGGCTCCTGCCATCGGATCAGCGTGGTGTGCTGGCCACGGCGGCCATTGGAGGGTGAACCAACGGCAAAGGAAGACCTTTCTCTCTGTCTCTCTCTCTCACTGTCCACTCTGCCTGTCAAAAAAAAAAAGAAAAGAAAACTAAAATCCTCATTTTTATCCAATTCTACCCTGCGTAAAGGAGAAAAAAAGTGATTGGATGCAGGGGCTGATTAAGTGGAAAACGAGGTATTCTAAACATACGGTCAGAAAAACACCTCTCTTACAGCTTAGAACTAGAGAGGAAGAAGCAGGTTTGTCTTTTGGCAGTGGTTTGTTTTTCATGCTTTTTGTTACACCACAGTCCAGATCCCTGTGTGTCAAAGACTAAGACTCCTAATATGACGGAGAGAGTAAAAGCAAATTTACATCTTGGAGATAAACTCAAAGCTCCTGATTTGTACCTCAATGAGTACTTCTTACCCAATTTTACAGATTACTAAAGTAGTTCTGACAAATATTTTTTACGTCTTAAAAGAAGCCAAAGTTACTTAGGTAGCTAAACACGAATATCAAGTCACCTTATAAAGAGGATTTTTTTGAGATTCAAGAGAGCATCTCCACCTGGTGGTGGATAAACAATAACAGCAATAAAATGAGAAAAGGTTATGGAGCCTTTCATCCAAGATATTCATGATGCAAGGCCAACAGCTTTGGCCAAATTAACCCACTAAGTGCCCATCTTCCAATCTAATAGAAGAGCAGAAATTTTTCTTTTGAATGGTGATCTGGACTTAAGATTCTAAAGCAGTATCGCTGCGGTACAGCAGTCATGTCTGCAGAACTGTTGAGACATGGCTTCTCATCTCTGCTAAACGCCTAGGAATAACAAGCTTATTCTGTAGACACCGCAGATGGTTCAAGAGATGAGCCTTCAGTTTTTATGGTTTTGTCTTCCAATCAATACATCTAATTTTGCAATCTGATACAACATGGAAAAATTCAGATCTACAGCCTGACTTCAGATAGGTCGTTCTTATTTTGCTCTTTGGTCAACTTGATTCCTAGATCCCTTACAGCCTGATCTTCCAGGTTTTCCGTGTATATTTTGATTTGTCCGTGTCTACTTGTGATGCAGTCACAGAACTCAGTCCCACAGGGAACCTGGCCAGAAAATGATGGGCACTTCTGTTAAGGCTCTCTATGTTCCTTTTATAGACTTTAGTTGCTGCATCACACTTCTGCTCATATATTGTGCATGCACTTATTTCTGAATAGCTTTATGTTCTAATGCTACCAGTAAATTACTCAAGGCGGGGGGGGAACGGGTAGAAACGAGGGTCTGTGTTTTCTTTCTTTTTTTCTTGGACAGGCAGAGTGGACAGTGAGAGAGAGAGACAGAGAGAAAGGTCTTCCTTTGCCGTTGGTTCACCCTCCAATGGCCGCCGTGGCCGGCGCGCCGCGCTGATCCGAAGCCAGGAGTCACGTGCTTCTCCTGGTCTCCCATGGGGTGCAGGGCCCAAGCACTTGGGCCATCCTCCACTGCCTTCCCAGGCCACAGCAGAGAGCTGGCCTGGAAGAGGGGCAACTGGGACAGAATCCGGCGCCCCAACCGGGACTAGAACCCAGTGTGCCAGCGCCACTAGGTGGAGGATTAGCCTATTGAGCTGCGGCGCCGGCCTGACAAATAGATTTAAGGACCATAATTTACTTCTGAAAGCAAAGTATATCGCTAAATCTCAGCTAACCCCCCGTTTCTGCTCTACAAATTTCCGCTATGCATCTACTTACAAAACAGTGGGAAAAAAGTTAACAAAATAGAACATGAACAAGACATGTAAGTTTTTTTTATAAATTTTGATACTCAAAGTTCTTCCTTGTGTAAAGCAAGGGAACTCAGGGATAATTTACAAGGACGTGGCAAAAGGCTTGTGTAAAGTGAAATCTTAAAAGGAGTTTATTTGGATATAAAAATTGTTTTGTGTCTGAGGTGAACATTGTGGCAGTATGTTAAGCGCTTGGGTGCACTTGCGGGTACATCCTACATCAGAGTACTAATGTGGGCTCCAGCTGCTAATCCAGCTTCTTCCAAAGGGCCTGGGAAGTCAGCAGGGGGCCCACGTGTGTGCGTCTCATGTATGGGAAACATGGATGGAGTTCTGGGCTCCTGGCTTCAGCCTGGCCCAGCCCTGACTGTTGTAGGAATCTAGGAGGTGAACCAGCAAATGGAAAGTCAATCTCTCTCTCTGTCTCTCTCTCTCTCTCTCTCCTCTCTCTCTGTCTCTCTCTCTCTCTCCCCACCTCTCTATCTCGTGTCTCTCTGCCTTTCAACTAAATCTTTAAAAACAAATGTTGGCAACCTTACATAGCATTGTCATAATTCACATTTCCTGTGAACTGCTTGAAGTGCCCTTCATATACTGAACTGAGAGCAAAAAGCCAAGGGCAGCCTGTTCTCTCTCTACACTGGCCTTTGTGACAGAAAAAAACCAACAAGAGTATTCCCAGCGGTGAAAGGCTACTGAGAATTTTAGGCTAAGACGGTAGGAGCTGAATAATACTTTGGCAATAGCAACTCTGCCACAATAATAGAATCTTAGGCAACCTGTTGCAAAATCGGATCACACTGCTTTGGGAAATAACACCAGGAACTCTGGAAAAAAAAGTTAATATAGTCCACCATGAAATATCTCTTGAACTGTTCATTGTTAAATTAACAACAGAAGTCACTGTGCACTTACTCCTCATGTAGGACTTCTGTCCTTAATGAGTTGTACTACGAGAATTAACTGCAAAACTTGTTCTCAAATAGTATTTTATACGTTGTGTGTGTGTATGTGTGCGGGCGGAAACTGTTGAAATCTTTACTTAGTATACAGTTGGTCTTCTCTATATAAAGTTAAATTAAAAATGAATCTTGGGGCCGGCGCCGTGGCTCACTTGGTTAATCCTCTGCCTGCGGCACCGGCACCCCATATGGGTGCCCAGTTCTAGTCCCAATTGCTCCTCTTCCAGTCCAGCTCTCTGCTGTGGCCCAGGGAGTGCAGTGGAGGATGGCCCAAGTGCTTGGGCCCTGCACCCACGTAGGAGACCAGGAAAATCACCTGGCTCCTGGCTTCAGATCGGCATACTTCTAGCCGTAGTGGCATTTGGGGGGTGAACTAACGGAAGGAAGACCTTTCTCTCTGTCTCTCTCTTTCACTGTCTGTAATTCTACCTGTCAAACAAATAAATAAAATCTTTTTTAAAAAAAGAATCTTAATGAAAAATAGAACGAGAAAGAGAGTAGGAGGTGGGACAGGAGTGGGGGTGGGAGGGAGGGTGTTGGGGGAAGAACCAGTATATTCCTAAAGTTGTCCCTATGAAATGTGTGTTCATTAAATAAAAGCTTTTGAAAAAGTATCTCTTTATAAATTCAGTACTTGCCATAACAAATGTTTTCAGCTCGATTTCTCATTCACTTTAATTTCTCAGAATAATTTACATTCAGGTTGACTCAAAACACTTGCACGAATATAAAAAATAGTAAATGAGGATTTACATATATCACTTCAACTGTTACATAAGTGACTCTAAGACAGTCTATGTGAAATAAATAGGGCATGAAGAAAAATGTTTTATTAGAAGACAAATAATTCTTAACCAATTTATTGGCCTATGATTAAAACTTACCTTTATCATGTTTTATTTTTATGTTCCAGGGACTTGGAAGGCAACCATATTCATAAATTAAGAAACTTGACTTTTATGTCCTGCACTAATTTAACTGTTTTGTAAGTAAAATTTCATGTTTTCGAAATAATGCTGTAGCTCCTTACAAGCAAAATTAATCATGTGTGTTGGTAGAAGTTAACACAATCATCCAGAGTGATTATGACAAATATCCACTCTCAGCCTGAAGTTGGTTGAAAATGAAGAACATAAAATTCAACACAAGAGAAATCACAGACTGCGACAACCACGTATCATCACGCGACAGTGCACTAGCCGAGGCCTGTTTTTGTCAAACGTAAGGGATGTGCAGACCCATTTGAAAGCAAAGCAGCTCTCACGGAACCCTGGGATCCGCTCATGAATCTGTTTGTGAAGCATTGTTGATCTTCTTAGTCCACAAGAATGCTTCTCCTTTTCAAATTGTTACTGCAAGGATTGCTTCTCTTTATAATTGTGAAAGCGAGTTACTTTTCTGGTTTTCAACTTAAGTTATACAAGTTCCATTCTCTTGTGTTTCGTATATACAGCTTTGGGAGTATGCAGAGTGCTCACACTGTGAGGGTATAATTATGGACACCAGATTAACCCTAGAAAATCATTGTATAAAATTTCTCCTAATGCCTTACTGATGTATTTTTAAATCATAGTGCCTTTTTATGGAACTGTAGGATGTTGGGACTTCCCTTCAACCTGAAATTCCAAGCCTGTCACTTGTCATTTGTATTTATAGAGTTTGTAGACTGGAACTCGCAAGTAGGTGATGAAAACTATGAAGCACAGTCAATTTAGTGTACCCTGAATAGCATTTTTTAAATGAAACAGAATTGAATTAAGTATGTCAGAGTGCAATGCATATAATATGTGGACTGTTTTATGAGTCTTAGATGTGTTGTACATGTGTATTTATGTCTCAATCTAAAATACATTTTTTTACTGTGGTTTACCATGGGAAAAGTTTGAAAACCATAATCCTAGAGACATGGGACCCTGTGTAGAAGCAATACAATAGCTACCATTGATACAATAAAAATGTGATATTTTCTCCAATTATGTCCCCCATTCTGATGGGCTACAGACAATGAAAAATCTGAGCTCTCCTGCTGGCTGAGTCCAGCAGTGTTCAAGTACAGGATGTTTTATATCACTCGTGTAAATAGTTCTTAGAAATTGCTGAAAGGAAACCAAATGGTACATAAAAAACACAGACCAAATATATTTCTAAAAAACTTAGAATTCCTTTTCTGCTCTCTGTTTATTTATAAGGAAACCTCTGTATTAAGAAATATTTTGTGGGTTTCCTCCTGCCGTGTGCTGGTGATATTTGGTCAGGGACTGTTAGAAGGTAGTGACGCTTTGGAGCGGTGGGAAGAAAAAATACAGTCAGCCCTCCAAAACCACAGGTCCTGCGTTTAAAGACTCAGCCAACCTCAGGTCGAAGATATTTTTTAATTGTATCTGCTCTGAACATGCACAGACCTTTCTTTTTTCTTGTCATTATTCCCTAACCCATACAGCACAGCTATTCACATAGAATTTACATTGTGTTAGGTATTATAAGTGATCTGGAGACAGTCTGATAGATATGGGAGAAAATGTATAGGTTATACGCCAATTCTGCCCCATTTCATACAGGGGACTGGTGTGCCCACGGATTCTGGTATCCACAGGGGCCTGGAGCCAATCCACAGAGGCTGTCAAGGGCATCTATACTGAAGGATGAGGGAAAACCAACCTGGAGACATACCAGAGAACGCTTAAAGTCCTAGAAAACGTTTAAATCTTTTCTGAGTTAGTTCTTTAAGCTAGCTGATAACATGACATCAGCACAGAAATGAACTGTCAGGAATCATTCTGATTCAACATCGCAAACTAGAGATTCCTCTGAATTGATCCTGCTTAGACTTCCCTAGGCAGCCACACCCAAAATGGCATCAACTACCCAATGGGTACGAGTGCTCTCATGTGTGAGTTGTACGAGACAGGCTATGCAGACGGAAGAGATTAGTCTAAAACAGCTTGTTAACGCTCTTGAGTAAAGCATTGAGGTTTTCACTATTTTATTGCAAAGCCCATCTCTATTTCACTTAACACTTTGAGAAACATTTTTTAAAATCATAATTAAAAGATTTGGGAAATTTAAGATTAAAATCAAATTGGACAATTTGTTATACTTCAGAATACCTTGATGTGGAAAATGCAGTATACATTCATTACCTTTGTTTTTGCTGACTGTTAATCTGTGTAGTAGTTACACCAGGCAGTTACAATATGCTTTTCTGTTGACTTTCAGGATAATGAGGAGAAACGAAATTAATCACTTAAATGAAAATGCTTTTATACCTCTTCAGAAACTACATGAATTGTAAGTTGGACTAAATGTATATTATTAAGAATTTTCTTTCTACTGTTTTATTCCATATTTGCTCTACATATATTTTATACATTTAAGAAATATTAATTATTTCCTCTTTTTTCTATTTAAGCTGAAATCATTTATATACCTTCATGTGTTGGGCCACAAAGGCATTCAGCTAGCGTGCCAAAATATCATACAGTAAAAATATAGAATAAATATTTGAGGAAATTGAGGTAAATAAAATCCAGGTATAGAGAAATAGTAAAGTCAGGATAAAATTAATAAATAAAATATGCCTCTGGGGGCCGGCACTGTGGCGCAGCAGGTTAACACCCTGGCCTGAAGTGCCAGCATCCCATATGGGCACTGGTTCTAGTCCCAGCTACTCCTCTTCTGATCCAGCTCTTTGCTGTGGCCTGGCATAGCAGTGGAAGATGGCCCAAATCCTTGGGCCCCTGCATCCACGTGGGAGACCTGGAGAATGCTCCTGGCTCCTGCCTTCAGATCAGCGCAGCTGTGGCTGTTGCGGCCATCTGGGGAGTGAACCAGCAGATGGAAGACCTCTCTCTCTGTCTCTACCTCTCTCTATAACTCTATCTTTCAAATAAATAAAATAAATCTTAAAATAAATAAATAAAATATGCCTCTGAACCACTTCTAGAAAAGGACAGAAAATGTATCTTTTTAAGTTTCCAGGAAGGTTAAGATTTAGGGACTATAAGATCAAAAGACACCTCTTTATGGATTCTGAAATCAAAGACTGACATTGGTTCCATAAGGATATTCCATAAAAATAGAAAAGAGGGATAAGTGAAAAGAGGTTTTTTATTAAAGATTTATTTATTTATTTGAAAGAGTTAACAGAGAAGGAGAAGAGAGAGAGCTTCTATTCGCTGTTCACTCCCAAATGGCCAAGACAGTCAAGACTGGGCCAGGCCGAAGCCAGGAGCCTGGAGTTTCATCCAGGTCTCCCACAAGGGTACAAGGGCCAAAGGACTTGCGCCATCTTCCACTGCTTTCCCAGGCACATTAGCAGGGAGCTGGATCGGAAGCGGAGCAGCCGGGACTCAAACCGGCGCCCTTATGAGATGCCAGCACTGCAGGCAGTGCCGTACACACTATGCTGCAGAGCCAGCCCCAGAGTTATTAATAATGTCCCTCTTTGAATATCAATGACATAATTCCAAATGGCACTGAAGTGATTCTTTGATGTACCAGACCTTGTGGTACATGCATGTAGAGATGATTATCAGAATAAAGTAAACGTAAGTGCAGCGGATGAAGCATATATCCTTCAGTGTTTTGTTCCTTTGTAGCAATTTCCTGGAAAGGGTCTGGAATGTGGCCTAATCTGCTTGTTTTGACAAATATCTTGGCAGATCAATGATTTATTGAAACTTTTCCATAAAAAATAAGAATGTAACTAGAATTTTGTGAACACAGCACCTGAATATCTTACCTAAACACAGAGACAGATGGAGGGAATGCGTATGCCAAGAGCTAGAATGTTTTCCGGGAAACCATCCTGCATTCTGCTCAAAACACCAGTGAACAAGCCATTGAAAACGCCAACATTTTTCTGTAATGACTAGCCTGAAACATTATGGTACGCAGTACCAATCGTTCATAAAATGTGCAGGAAAATCTAATAGGCAGTTAGAACCAAGTGTCTGTTGTAGAAACTCCTGGTATGTGGCAGTTGAACCATACCATCAGCACATGGGAAATTTTTCTCTGTGGTAGAGCGAGGTGCATCTGTGTTGTTTAAAGGTATGATCTAGCAATCACATTGCAGGTTAGTCAACTGAGTCTATACCAGTCTGCCTTCATTGCCTTAAGTAAAACACCTAAGAGGAGTTTCTGGACAAAGAAAATGCTTTTTTCAGCTTACAGTTTGGAGGTTACAGTTTAAGACTGGACACCATGAGGCTGCATGGTGGGTTGTGGACAGAGTCCCATGGTGAACCTGGAAGCAGAGAGAACAGCTAGGCAGAACTTGAGCTAAATCACCAACCCTCCCATGAGAACCACCTTCTAGGGACATGCCCCCAGTGACCTAAAGACCAGGCCCACCTCTCAGATGCCATAGGTACATCAAGTCTCCACCTTGAATCCACCAGCCATTAACAAGAAGACATTAGAGTTTGAACATCCACATGACAAGTCAAGTCCTACCCAGCCCGTAACAGGTCCCATTCTTTTCCTTGTTTTATCCAACTTGAAATCACTATCAGAGGGTGATTCTCCAAGTACTAACTGTCATGGTTAGCATGTGCAGATTTTATCTATCACAACTAGCATAACCTGTGCTAACCCAGCTTTATGGATAAAGAAAAAAAAAGAAAGAAAGAAAACAAGAAAAGCTAAAGCCAGTAGTTTGCCATGCCCACAAGCTACCTAACCTTACATTTTTACTTGCCTGAAAAAAATCAGAATTACAAGAACGAAGGAGGCTTATGTTCTAAGAGGTGACAGTTTTTGATGGGTAGATCTGGATCTTTAAGATGGTTGGACTATACTGTGTGCCTCTCCTGGTTCAATCACACCGCCAGAGCTCAGGAGAGCAAATAAATTGACAACACTCAGAATTCACTTGTCTCGGGGGAACCTTAAGTAATTTTAGTGACCGAAAATTTTTTGCCATGTGCTTAATTTAAGGTTTGCTTTTTAAAGTCAGCCACCCTAGTGTTTTTTTTTTTTTTTTTTTTTTGACAGGCATAGTGGACAGTGAGAGAGAGAGACAGAGAGAAAGGTCTTCCTTTGCCGTTGGTTCACCCTCCAATGGCCGCCGCGGCCGGCGCGCTGCGGCCGGCGCACCGCACTGATCCGATGGCAGGAGCCAGGAGCCAGGTGCTTTTCCTGGTCTCCCATGGGGTACAGGGCCCAAGCACCTGGGCCATCCTCCACTGCACTCCCTGGCCACAGCAGAGAGCTGGCCTGGAAGAGGGGCAACCGGGACAGAATCCGGCGCCCCGACCGGAACTAGAACCCGGTGTGCCGGCACCGCTAGGCGGAGGATTAGCCTAGTGAGCCGCGGCGCCGGCGACCCTAGTTAATAAGCTATTTCCTGATCCCATTCAGAAAAGGACCTTAAGTTCCATTAAGTTTACTCCAAATTTCCTAAACTGAAGCTGCAAAATGGATTTTCACATATCACTTAGCATCTAGACCAACACTATCCCCTAATATAATTCATGCATGAGAACTATGTATCAGAATTTGTACTAATAACCAAATTATTAAATTTATTTAACATGATATTTGGAGTTTGAGTTTCCTAATGGCCTAATTGCAATCTGTTTTACACATCACCTTACCAGTATGCTCCATATTTTACTTGGCTTCCCATACAGAGAACTGGAATTGTGTCCCACTTAAACCTAAAAGTGAGTAAGATAGTCTCTGTCCATTAACTGTCTGACTGGGGCTGGAAAGAATTCCTGGTCAAAGCTGAGGCAGGCAACCAGGTAGCCCAGATGAGTGGGAATGGTTTTTGTACTCAGAGCTCACACCTCTCAGAGAGGAAGCGCGTGTGTACAGAATGGTGCTATGACTGAAGTGGACAAGAGGAGTATACGAGAGAACAGCCAACCTTGCTGGGCATCAGAGATCTCGCAGAGAGCTGACTTCACAGCTTTCTTTATTTCAGAGACAGAGAGAGAAAGAGCTGCCACTGCTTCTGAAGTCCCTAAATCTCCTGTCTGTCCCAGTGGAAATTAATAGGACTTGGAGATGGAAGGGAAGTGGTTTGGCTTTCTCCTCCTGTCTCTTGATGACCTTGGAGAGTTCAGGTCTGTTGGAACAATCTTGTTTAGAAAAATGAGGCCCTTCTCATGAGATCTGCCTACAAAAACCGCTGCTATCCACAACCTTCTCACAACTAAGCTACCAGGTCACGCTGTGGTGGGCATACCTCCCACATACACATGAGGTGACACACAAAGTGTGTCTGCCCATGAGTGTAAGACATCCTGTGCTTTTCAGCTGTAGAAGAAACTTAAAATGATACGCTTCCATTTGTAATCCTAAAAAACTCAAGCAAAAAGATAATTAAGGCTCCCAACCATATTCTGTCAGTACAAAAGGAGAGAAAGAAGGGAGGGGAGGGAAGCAGAGGAATAACACACATATTAATTAGAATTAGAAAATTAGATCTATGGATTTTCACCAGATCAAATACTATCAAATATTTCTCTCCAAGAAGGTGATGAAATGGAATAAAAAACGTTCTGTTTTTCTCCCTGTTTGAAAGTTGTATAACTTCCAGTAATAAATATGAATGACCAATGGCATTGATCATTGTATAATGTGCCTTCTAATGACTTTGAGTTCAATAAATAAAGTCTTAAGAAAATAATATATATTTGCAATTATTTCTCTAGGGATTTAGGAAGTAATAAGCTTGAAAATCTTCCACCACATGTATTTAAGGATCTGAAGGAGCTGTCACAATTGTAAGACTGATACTACTTTTATTCCTTTTTAAATACATACTAACATAAAGTTAGCCATTTTTAAGTATGCCACTGAATGACATTAACTACATTCACATCATCGTACAGTCATCACCACCATCTACCTCCAGAATTAGTTCAATTTGCAAAACGAACTCTGTACCCGTTAAACTCTAGCTTCCCTTTAATCCTTCTCCTTCCCACCTCCCCTAATCCCTGGCGATCAGCTACTTCCTGTCTGTGTGAATTTGACTACTCTATATACTTCATATGAGTTAACTCATACATTATTTGTCCTTTTCTGATTGGCTTATTTTGCGTATTTAACATAATACCTTCACAGTGTATGCAAATTGCTGTATATGTCAGAATTTCCTCCCTTTTTTAAGGCTGAATAGTGTTGCATTCTATATATAACACTGTTTATCTGTTTGTCAATTAATGAACACTTGCATTGCTTGCACCTTTTAATTCTTGTGAATATGCTGTTATAAAACTGAGTGTTCAAATATCTGTTCCAATTCCTGCTTTCAGTTCTTTTGGGTACTCAGATGTTCCTCAGCTTATGATAAGGCATGTCTCAATAAGCCCATCACAGCTGAATACATGTCATCAGTCAACAATGTGTTTAATACACGTAACCTACTGAACATCCTTGCTTTGCAACACAGTACGCTAGCGAGTAACTGTTCTTCACCCTCTTGTCCTGGGGCTAACCGGGAACCATGGTTCTCTGCCACTGCCCAGCATCACACAGAGAATCACACTGCGGAGGACTAGGTTGGGACGCGACGCAAATTCAGACTTTGCAGTCCCGTGTCTGCTAGGTATATAGCACTTTGGTACCATTGTGAAATAAAGTGAAAATCAAGTCAAGAATCGTCTGTATTCAGCCAGGAAGCAGGATTGCTGGATCACGTGGTAATGTTGTTTTTCTCTATGTGTGATTCTGTTTTCTACCATTTTCCATTTCTACTAGCAGTGAGCAAGGGTTCCAATTTCTTCACAACCTCCCCAACACTTGTTGTTTTCTGTTTTTTACATCTTAACCATCATAATGGTGTGAAATTATGTTTTTTGTGGCTTTGATGTGCATTTCTCTAATACATAGTGATGTTGAGCAGATTTTCATATGTTGTTTTGTATTTCTTCTTGGAGAAGAATCTAGGCCAGGCCTTTGCCCACCTGAAATTGAATTCTTTGGATTTTTAGTTGTATTTTTTAGGTTGTAGGTGTTCATAATCTAGATGTTAACCCCTTTTAAGACACATGATTTGCAAATACTTTATTCTGTTGCCAGGGTCGAATTTCCACCCTACCATAGTGTCCTTTGATGCACACAGAAGTTTTTAATTTTGACATAGTTGGTTTTTCTTTTTTCTCTTTTGTCATCCATGCTTTTGATGTCCTATCCAAGAAATCATTGTGAAATCTAATGTCTTAAAGTTTTTCCTCTATGTTTTCCTTTAAGAGCTTTGTTGTTTTCGCTTTTGCACTTAGATCTTTGATTCATTTTGAGTTGATTTATGTGCATTGTGTAAGGTAAGGGCCTAACTTAATCCTTTTACATGGGGATATCCAGTTATGCCCAGATAGTTTGTTGAATAGACTGTCCTTTCCACCATTAAATGGACTTGGTATCCTTGTTGTGAGTCATTTGACCATATATGTGTGGGTTCACTAATGATCTCTGTATTCTATCCCATTGGTTCCCATGCCTGTCTTTATGCCAGGACCACACCAGTTACTGTAGCTTCCTAGTTAGCTTTGAAATAAATTAGCAGAGATCTCTAGCTTTATTATTCTTTTTTTCAAGATTTCTGGTTGGTTGAGCTCCCTTGGTTTACCATATGAATTTTAAGATATATTTCTCTTTTTATAAAAAATACCGATGTGATTTTGACAAGGATTATGTTGAATCTGTAGATCACTTTGGTTAGTGTTGACATCTTCACAATATTAACTCCTGCAGTCTGTCAACACAGGAAAACTTTCCATTCACTGGTGTTGTCTCCATCCATTGTGTGCTACTATAACAAAATGCCACTTCGTAAACAGTAAAAGTTTATGTGGCTAGTAGTTCTGGAAATTGAGATGTCCAAGACTCAGGACCAGCACCTGGAGAGGGTCTTCGGCATCACATGGCAAGAGAGCAGGTGGAGGATAGGAGGGGATCTTGTCCTTCGTCAAGAGCCCACTCCTGGGACACCTGACCACTCCTGCAACAATGGCAGCGGTCCAGTCAAGAAGCAGAATCCTCAGTACCTGACTGCGTCTCAATACTATCAAAACGGCAGTAGATTTCCACAGGAGTTGTGAAAGATTCTCTAATTTCTTTTACCAATTATTTGTTATGGCTTTCAGTGTGTATCTCTTTCTACCTCCTTATGATTGGTCATTGCTTATATATACAAATGCAACTGATTCTTCCAAATATATTTCTTATCCAGAAACTTGCTGGACTGTTTACTGGTTCTAAATTTTTTGTTTTAAATATTTAAAGTTTTCTACATAGAAAGTTATGTCGTCCTTGGACAGAACATTTTTCTCCTTCTGTTCCAATTTGGATAATTTTTCCTTCTCTTTCTGACCTGATTTCTCAGACGAGAGTGTCCTATTCCAAAGCAGGCTTGCTTGTCTGTTCCTGGGCGGAGAGGAAAAGCTCTTGGTCTCTCACCTCTAAGTGGATGGGTAATAGATACTCGGACACGGCATTTACCATGAGTCCTAGGTCCCTTATATTGCTAATTTGCAGAGTCTACTTCATCTCTTTTATACAACTCATTTTTTTAAGGATGAATTTATTTACTTGAAAGGCATAGTTACAGACAGAGAGGGAGAGACAGAGAGAGAAATATATTGGTTCACTCCCCAAATGGCCACAACAGCCGGAGCTGGGCCACTCCAAAATCAGGAGCCAGGAGATTCTTCCTGGTCTCTCATGCAGGTGCAGGAACCCAACCACTTGGGCTACCTTCCAGCTTTCCCAGGCCATCAGCAGAGAGCTGGGTAGGAAGTGGAGCAGCCAGGACTTGAACTAGCATGGGCACAGGCGCCTCAGGCAGATGCCCAGCCTACTATGCCACAGCACTGGCCCCTACAACTCATTTTTTATTGTCATTCTTCTTGTCTTTCCTTCTTTCTGTATCCCGTGTTCCTCCAGCAGTTCCCCCACACCTTCCTTAATCTAAGTTAAATTTTTAAAAACAGAACTCCTGAGAAGCTCCCTTTAATCAATGATTCATGCTTCAAAGTGTTGTTGTACAAAGATTCTGAAATCGCCCTTTAGGGATCCGAGAGAGAAGGAGAGAGAGAAATAGAGAGATAGAGAGAGAGAGATAAAGAGATAGAGAAAAAAAAGAGAGAGAGAGATCCATCTCCCATCCACTGATTCACTCCCCAAATGGCCACAACAGCCAGAGCTGGGCCAGGCTGAACCCAGGACCTAGGAACTTCTTCCAGCTCTACTACGTGGGTGCAGAAGCCCAAGCACTTGGGCCATCTTCTACTGCTTTCCCAGGCACATTAGCAGGGAGCTGTTGAAATCTCCCTTTAAACTCTACTGTAAGTCACTCTGACCTATGTCTTTTTGTCCGTCACTATAGCCTAGTAACTATATGAAACAACAGTGTCATTTCATAACTCACGAGTCACTAGCACAATATGTCACTCTTTGATAAAAGATTAAGAAGTTTATAGTGTGATTTCAGTAATTTAGAATTTGACTAAATGGGATCCTGTTTATTTTTTTAAACTACATCTGATCCTAGGCCAGATATGAAACAAGTATGGTTCTTTCTCGGTGCCTGTCCATTTCTTTGACAGGAGCCCTTTCTTGATAAATTCACCTTCATGGCTGCATTGCAGTAGCTCTTGATCTACCACTATCACAATCATGGCACATTTCATTACAATGAAATGCCAGGCACTATTCTAACGTTTATACCCATTAATTCACTTAAGTGCATAGTCAACCTTACGAGACAAGTGTTATTACTATACTCTTTTTAAAAAAAAGACAAATATAAATTGCATATATTTACCTTGTATAATGTAATGTTTTGAAAGCATTAGGCCGGCGCCACGGCTCAATAGGCTAATCCTCCGCCTTGTGGCGCCGGCACACCAGGTTCTAGTCCCAGTCGGGGCGCCGGATTCTGTCCTGGTTGCCCCTCTTCCAGCTCTCTGCTGTGGCCCGGGAGGGCAGTGGAGGATGGCCCAAGTGCTTGGGCCCTGCACCCCATGGGAGACCAGGAGAAGAACCTGGCTCCTGCCTTCGGATCATCACGGTGCGCTGGCCGCGGCAGCCATTGGGGGGTGAACCAATGGCAAAGGAGGACCTTTCTCTCTGTCTCTCTCTCTCACTGTCCACTCTGCCTGTCAAAAAGAAAAAAAAATTAAAAAAAAGAAAGCATATGCATTATGGGATGGATAAAATTTGATACATAAAAAATGCATCACTTCACATAGTTACCAATTTTGTGGTCAGAACATTTACTATCTACCATCTTAGCAATTTTTAAGAATGCAGTCCATTGTTATTAACTATAGTCTCCAAGTTGTACTGCAGATCTCTTGAACTTTTTGCTCCTATCCAACTGAAATTTTGTGCCTTTTGGCCAACACCTCCCGATATATACCCTTCTGCCCCTGGAGACCAACGCTGCGTTCTTGGCTTCTTTGTATATGTTGTACATCACCTTTCTGTGCCTGATCGATTTCACTCAGCATATTGTTCTCAAGGCTTATCCCTGCTGTCAGAAACAGCCTCTCCTTCTTTTAAAGGCAGAACACTGTTCCGTTGTGTACACATTGCAAATGTTCTATCTCTGTGATGGACACATAGATGATAAACTCCATACCATTCTTCCTAGTATCTGTACTAATTTGCCTTCCCTCCAATAGTGTGCAAGAGCAACCGTGTGTCAGCATTCTCTCCAACACAGGTCACCATTCAACTTTATGATCATAGTCATTCTAACAGGTGTGAGATGATAACTCATTGTGGTTTTCTCTGATGATTAGTGTCGTTGAACATTTTTAATATACCACTTGCATGTCTTCATTTCAGAAATGTCTGTTCAGCTTTGCCTAGCTTTTACCTGGGCTGTTTGTTTTTCACCTGACAGTTCCATATATGTGCTGGACACGAACTCCTTCTCAGAAATGTGGTTTGCAAGTTTTATCTTCATTCTGTAGGCGGTCACTTCCCTCTGCTGCATGTTTCCTTGCATCTGAAGAAACTTCTTAGTTTGAAAGAATCCCATTTTTCTCTTTTCTCTTTGGTGGCCTGTGCTGTTAGAGTCATATCCAAAAAAAATCATTGCCCAGCTGTTCTTCTTTTCTCCTGGTAATTTTGCAGTTTCAGGTCTCATTAAAAACTTTAATCCATTTCAAGTTGTACTATGCTATTTTGGTAAATGTTTGAAAGAACTCAAAGTCAATAGATAAACTCATTTACTCAAGCAAATTTTAGAAATGACCTAACTCTGCCTTTGTTTTTAAAAAAACAGGAATCTTTCTCATAACCCAATCCAGGAAATTCCAGCAAACCAATTTGATTACCTTGTCAAGCTCAAGTCTCTGTAAGTATATACATATGGTGATAGTTTTTTGATAAAATTTTATATATTGTATAACATATTTCACAACTTTATTCCTAAGATATTAGTTAAACTCCACAAAAACATATAAGATAAGCACTTGCTGGGCTATAAATAGATAGCTATTACTTTTATCTTATATATAATTTTTAAGATTTTTATTTATTTATTCGAAAGTCAGAGATAGAGCCAGAGAGAAAGGGAAGTCTTCCATTCCACTGGTTCACTCCCCGAATGGCCGCAATGCCTGGAGCTGGGCCAAACTGAAGCCAGGAGCTTCTTCCAGGTCTCCCACGCGGGTGCAAGGGTGCAAGCATGTGGGCCATCTTCTGCTGCTTTCCCAGGCCACAGCAGAGAGCTGGCAATGGAAGAGGAGCACCCAGGACACAAACCAGTGCCCAGTGTCAGCCCCTTATACATATTTTATCTTACATATTAAAAAACTGAAAATAAAATAATTTTTATATATTTTTCTATAAGACACCAGGAGTTTGTCTTGACTATTTTGTTCTGACCCTTTGGAGGTCCATAATTATTCCATAAACACCAAGTACTTAAGAATGTATTATAGGCAACCTTATTCCAATATAGAATATTCTGTATTATACAATCATTACAGATACAAGAAATAGAAAGATAAAAATTCTGTAGATAATAAGTTTCAGTCTATCTCATCGAAATATCTCCTCAGTAAAATTGTTTGCTAGAAAAAAATTATTGCTTAAAAATTATTAGAAAAATTTCAAAGCCCAAAAGCTGAGGCTTGTTTATTTATTCTAAAAATATTTATTGAGTAGTTAGCAAGCAGAAAGTCATGTTCCAAAAAGATTTTTCAAAAACATAAGGGGATATATGTGTGTGTTAATAATATAGCTCAAATAAGAGGAGGCAGGGAAGTGGGCAAGGTGATCTGGGTATAAATATTTCGTTCAGCATAAGTGTTAACTAAAAGCATTTTTACTAAGTAGTCTTCATCAAAAAGTTCATTTTATTATAACATGTGGGAAATAGGTTCTCTCGATTGATTATTAATTTGATATTTTAGCAGCCTAGAAGGAATCGAGATTCCAGATATCCAACAAAGGATGTTTAGACCTCTTATGAATCTCTCTCACATGTAAGTCTATGTGTTCCTTGTTTCACTCTGATGTAATCTGTTTCCACATTATTGCGATAGTACATTTATATCCAGTGCATCCAGTCTATTAATATTTGATGTGATCTCTGTTTCCACATTATTGCGATAGTACATTTATATCCAGTGCATCCAGTCTATTAATATTTGATGTGATCTCTGTTTCCACATTATTGCGATAGTACATTTATATCCAGTGCATCCAGTCTATTAACATTTGATGTAATCTGTTTCCATATTATTGCGATAGTACATTTATATCCAGTGCATCCAGTCTATTAACATTTGATGTGATCTCTGTTTCCACGTTATTGCGATAGTACATTTATATCCAATGCATCCAGTCTATTAATATTTGATGTGTTCTCTGTTTCCACGTTATTGCGATAGTACATTTATATCCAGTGCATCCAGTCTATTAATATTTGCGTTTATTTTAAAGTACTTAAGAAAATAATTAACTCTAAAACTGATGTTGGACAGGGTGGGGACCTGTAAGGGGACCCACTCAGCCTTGTTAGAAGTTCCCAGCTCTGACACCATTCATAGATAATCTGTGCTTGCCTAATGAGCTAGCCATTTGTAAACATGGTGAAAGTGCTACCGGATGAATGAGTAGGAATCCATATAAGCATAATAAAATAATTATAAATAAATAAATGCTGTAAATAAAGAAGGAAGGAGGAGTTGGCATCGTAGTGCAGCAGGTTAAGCTACTCCTGCAACGTCAGCATCCCATGCAGACGCTGACTCGTGTCCTGCCTGCTGCTTCCAGTCTGGCTCCCTGCTAATGACCCAGGAGAGCAGTGGGAAGTGGCCCAAGTGTTTGGGCCTCTGCTCCCCTGGGGGAGACCCAGATGAATTCCATGGCTTCTGGCTTCTGCCTGGCCCAGCACTGCAGCCGTTTGGGGAATAAAGCAGCAGATAAACAGTCTCTCTCTCTCCCTCCCTCCCTCTCCCCCTCTCTCTCTAATTCTGCCTCTATAGAAGTAAAATTAACACTTCAAGATGCAATGACTTTAACAGCCCTTTTCTCAACTGTTGAACAGTTTTTTTCATACAATTTGTGGAACTATTTACTTAATATAGAGTTAATCATATTGTATAAAGTTAATTGAAAATAGATTGTAAAAAATAAGAATGGGAATAGGAGAAGGATGAGGAAGAGGAATGGGAGTGTGGGTGGGAGGGCAGATACAGTGGGAAGAATCACTATATTCCTAAAGTTGTATTTATGAAAAAATAAATAAATAAATTGTTATAAAAAATGAATAATGTAGGGAACTACCCTCCTCAGTGAAAATTTCCCCTTACGTCAAGTAACTTGTCAGTTTCCCCTTATGTCAAGCTTAGAGCGAGTTACAGATGGGTGAAATGGAAAGCTTGGAAAAATCTTTTGTGCAGACAGAATGTCTGATTGCACTTTGATCACAGGCTGTAGAAACATTTTTTCTAACTGAATGCAATCTTACTGTCAGCACTAGGATGATCTCCTTGCCATGACGATTAATTTTCAGTCATTTACAAAATATCTCATCAACTACTATCAACTCTACAATCTTGCTTTTGTTTCAGTCTAATGTAGACACAGCTTTTCCATAATTCCTCAGATAGGATGCTTTTTAAAGTGGTTGTACACAACATACAACAGTCTGACAAGACCAAGTTGAATTTGTTGTCAGAAAATGGTGCCCCTCACAAAATCTAAGAAACAATGAAAGGAACAGACTTGAGCTGGACATAAACAAGGCAGCAGGAGCTAAACAGCAGCCTTCTCCCAGAGCCTGTCCTTGGGTCATTCACTGAGATCCAGAGCTCCAGGAGAAAAGGCAGAGTTGGTCCTGCCTAGTGCGCTTGCCCCACTGGGCTGGAGGAGTGCCTCTGCTGTGGGTCCCACCATGACCTCACAGGTGCAGAAGAATTCCTTCAGGAGAACTCAGGACACTTCCCAGAGAGGGAAGCTGACAAGCTAGAAAACAGAAGATCTGCTGTAATTCTACTGGTAAAAGCAAAACTTCGGCTTAAGAAAAAAAAAAAGTGAAATAACAATCACACTCCCTCCTCAGATTCTGCTCACCTCCCCTTTGTAGTTCACAGGAAAAAATGGATTAACAGGGTGGAAGTATCAGCAATTGAACTTAAATCTTAGAGAACAAATTGCATTCGTGAAGTTTTGTCTTCTATCTTTTGTTGCCATAGGTCTTGATACTATAAAGATCTTGTATAATTTTTGATAGAAGTCATGGCTTTGGAGATAAACGGACCTAATTTAAATCCTAATTTCTACATTTTCTAGAAAATTTCCCAGAAAATAATTTACCCTTGAAGATTTATCTCTTCCTATGGTGACGTGAACACTTACCTCATGGAGTTCCTTTGGAAATTTTTCCTGATATTTAGAAAATGATCAACAAATGATGTTGGTGTTGATAGTCACATGTGATTTTTGATTATTCAGGCGATGCCCTTATCAAGAAGTCAGACCTCTATGAGTGAAATAACTCACTGAAAAAATATTGATTGAGCCCTTAATTCTGTGTCAGAGTATGAGAGATGGGCATGTTAGTAAGGGTTTACAGATACTGTAATAATTTCTAGAACAGAGAAGCCAAGGGAACATAGAAGGGAAGAACTTCGCTTTTCCCCCAGGGTTAAAAAGCAGCGCTGGGGGTTACAGCAACACTGGAACAAAGCATTTGTAGTTACAAGACGTCAGGAACCCAACAAAAGTCTCTGTGGAGAACTCACTCACTTTGTAACATGCTGACAAGTTGTGTACATCCTAAGACCTGTCTGACACTTGTGTATTTGTTATGCCTATTTGCTGTTCTCACTCAAACACTCTTCTACATTGTTAATGTAAATGAAATTACATTATGAGAATTAAAAGTTTAAAATTTCAGATCCCTACTGTGTTCTGTTCCTTTGAACCTCATATTTAAGACTTTTTCTTCCTACCAAGGAAATGTAGAAAATAAATACCAGCTGTGTGATGCCACTGAACTAACTATAAGATGGTGCTTTACCTGCTCCTTGTTCACCAGATATTTTAAGAAATTCCAGTACTGTGGATACGCGCCGCATGTGCGAAGCTGTAAACCCAACACAGACGGAATTTCGTCGGTGGAGAATCTCCTGGCAAGCATTCTCCAGAGAGTGTTTGTCTGGGTGGTCTCCGCAGTTACCTGCTTTGGGAACGTTTTTGTCATCTGCATGCGCCCTTACATCAGGTCTGAAAACAAGCTGCACGCCCTGTCAATCATTTCTCTCTGCTGTGAGTATTTCCTGGTTGAAGAGGAATCACGGTTTTGAAATATGCTGAAGTGTTGCTGGTAAAAAAATAAGTTCTGTGAAGGGCAGGATTATGGGTTTTTAAAATTGTCTTCATTATATGTCGTTTTCACATTTCCTTCAATGAAAATAGCATTACTTTAGTGATAAGAAAGAAAATAAGTTTCAGCCAGCGCCGTGGCTCACTAGGCTAATCCTCAGCCTTGTGGTGCTGGCACCCCGGGTTCTAGTCCCGGTCGGGGCGCCGGATTCTGTCCCGGTTGCCCCTCTTCCAGGCCAGCTCTCTGCTGTGGCCAGGGAGTGCAGTGGAGGATGGCCCAAGTGTTTGGGCCCTGCACCCCATGGGAGACCAGGAGAAGCACCTGGCTCCTGCCTTCGGATCAGCGCGTTGGCCGCGGCGGCCATTGGAGGGTGAACCAATGGCAAAGGAAGATCTTTCTCTCTGTCTCTCTCTCACTATCCACTCTGCCTGTCAAAAAAAAAAAATAATAATAAGTTTCTAAAACAACAAAATGCAGTTATCTTCAACAGGTGAACGAAGCTCTCGTTCATTAGTTTTCTCTCATATAGTAGCTCATATAGAGGCATACTGTGTTGACACTTCTAAAATATTTTATTACAAATAAAATTGCAAACATCCATGGTCATCACATTTTTATATCCTGATACATAGTTACTTTTTTATCTGGGTATCCAGTTCATAGATATTGATTCAGTGGCTGATTATTTTTCTGATGTCTGAGATACTAGAATCCTTTGTATTCATAACTTGAAATATATAAATGAGAAAACTTTTTCATGTAGTAATAACTTTTTAATAGTTTTTGGAATGTGGTTGCAAGGTATGATGTTAAATGAGGACCACAAAGAAAAATAAATGAGAAACTAGTTCTTAGGCTGGTCATAGTCTTTGTCACGTGGCCTAGAGTGTTCTCCCTCAGACAGGTAAAGCACCAGTCTGCACAGTGTTCTACTTTTTTATGTGTGCATTGGCCCATGAACAGCCCTCACCCCACCCTAGTTTTTTTTTTTTTTTTTATTGCAAGTTACACATGATAAATAGAACTCAAACTGTTTACCACATTATATTGTTAGCTACAAAATCTTGAGTACGGTCAATTTCAATCCTAAAGAATTAGAGTTGGCTTTATGATTTATACAGTGATGTGATCTTGGGAACTTTGGAATGCTTGCACAATCAAAAACTCCCAAACACTTTCTGATATGTTTGCTTAAAAAGAAAATAAGCCAAATAGTGTGGCACATTAAGAGCTAATTTTTGGAGTGGGAGAACCTAAAAAGAAACAGAGAAAGATGTAAAAGTGGGAAGAAAGAATCAGGAAGAACAATGTCGCTTAGACCAGCTCTGGTAAGTAATTTAAGTCCCCCAGAACTGTATGGACAGCAGAGCATTTCATAATTATTCATACCTTCTAAATTACAGACTTCAAAATTCATAGCCATCACTCTGTCCAGAGCATTTCATAATTATTCATACCTTCTAAATTACAGACTTCAAAATTCATAGCCATCACTCTGTCACGGCGGCTTCCAAGTTGATTTCTCTAAGTTTTCAGATGTTTCTTCAGCTTGTTGAGCTGGGAGATGTTCAGTGAAAGAGCTGAGCCGAGTAACACTAGCCCCATCTAGGCTCCTGACTGAATGCTCAACAGAGCTACATTGTATTCATTTGTTTCACAATTTTGCTTGGTTGGTCTAGAATGGAGCACAAAACAGACAAGACCTCTGCTTCCACATTTGCATTTTAAAGGAAACCAAAGAAATGATTACTTAATTAACTGCTAAGAGAATGGCTACTAAAAAGACTTGACAAATAGGTCCTCAGCCATAAATGAATCCTTAGATGAATACAAATTACTTCTATCCAAGATAGAAGAAACTTGGCTATTTTTTTTCTAATATTAAAAATAGCATTGCTTACTGATCATTTCATTATAACCATCTTTTCTGCATATTTATGGAACTTTCTGACCCTTCTAGGTGCTGACTGCTTGATGGGAATCTATTTGTTTGTGATTGGAGCCTTTGACCTGAAGTTCCGCGGGGAATACAACAAGCACGCGCGGGTTTGGATGGAGAGTATTCATTGTCAGCTCATGGGGTCTTTGGCCATTCTGTCCACCGAAGTATCAGTTCTGCTTCTGACATTCTTGACTCTGGAAAAGTACATCTGCGTTGTGTATCCTTTCCGATGTTTAAGACCTCAAAAATGCAGAACAATCACAGCTCTGCTTCTCATCTGGATGACTGGGTTTCTGGTGGCTTTCACCCCGCTAAGCAATAAGGAATTCTTCAGAAACTTCTATGGCACCAACGGAGTATGCTTTCCTCTCCACTCAGAAGATGCAGAAAGTACCGGAGCCCAGATCTACTCAGTGACAATCTTTCTGGGTAAGGCCCTCGGGTACAAACCCTTCATTCAGCTGCGGGGACGACTCACGGCGTGAAACTCACTGTGCCTGCTAAGGGCTATGTTTGTTTATTATTATTATTATTATTATTATTGACAGGCAGAGTGGACAGTGAGAGAGAGAGACAGAGAGAAAGGTCTTCCCTTGCCATTGGTTCACCCTCCAAAGGCCGCCGCGGCCAGCGCACCATGCTGATCTGAAGGCAGGAGCCAGGTGCTTCTCCTGGTCTCCCAAGCGGTGCAGGGCCCAAGCACTTGGGCCATCCTCCACTGCACTCCCGGGCCACAGCAGAGAGCTGGCCTGGAAGAGGGGCAACCGGGACAGAATCTGGCGCCCCGACCAGGACTAGAACCCGGTGTGCCGGCACCGCAAGGCGGAGGCTTAGCCTAGTGACCCGCGGCGCCGGCCCATGGGCTATAAGTTTTTACCAAAAGTTTCTAACCAATGTTCTGCAGCAAGGCTGGGGCCGAATTCCATCAGAATCCCCAGTAGGAATGTTTTTCTCCCAAATTACCCTTTTATTATATGAATTCCAAACTGACATGTTTTATGAAAGATAGTAAACACTTGTATCTCATGAATTCACCTTAATAATACCAAGCAAAACATAAATTCACTCTTTTCTTTCCCTTTACAATAAAACGTAATGCTACTTGTGACCTTTTCAAACACATGTGCGTACCCACACATCTTTGGTTTAAGAGTATGTATACAACTGTTCTAAATTAGCCATGTAAAAATATTCTCAAAGTACAGCACAAAGTAATTAAATTATGAAAAAAAGTCACTAAGACTAGAAAGCTTGAAGGGCCAGATAGTAAGTAAATGGCTCTAATTTCATCTTAGTGTGCCATCTTTAAATGAAACATCTCACTATCATTCAGTACTTCATCTGCAAAAAAAAAAAAAAAAATGACCTTTACACACCTTCGTAATTCTTTATGAAGAATAAAAAATACATTATGGTTGTTATATCTTTAATAACACCTTAAGAATATGTTTTATCTGTTTGTTTTTAAAAAAATACTTGTGTCCATTAATAGTGCTTCTTGGGTTCTAAACAGGTGTCAACTTGGCGGCATTTCTCATCATAGTCTTTTCCTACGGAAGCATGTTTTACAGTGTCCATCAAAGTGCCATCACAGCAACTGAAATACGGACTCAAGTTAAAAGAGAGGTGGCCCTGGCCAAGCGCTTCTTCTTTATCGTGTTTACTGATGCATTGTGCTGGATCCCCATTTTTGTGCTGAAATTTCTTTCACTGCTTCAGGTAGAAATACCAGGTACAGCTTGCTTTCTTTGGAGAAATAATACATCTTTTCCCTCTCTCTCTTTTTTTTTTTTTTTTTTTTTTTTTTGAGGCAGAGTGGACAGTGAGAGAGAGAGACAGAGAGAAAGGTCTTCCTTTTGCCGTTGGTTCACCCTCCAATGGCTGCCGCGGCCAGTGCACTACGGCCGGCGCCCCACGCTGACCCGAAGGCAGGAGCCAGGTGCTTCTCCTGGTCTCCCATGGGGTGCAGGGCCCAAGCACTTGGGCCATCCTCCACTGTCTTCCTAGGCCACAGCGGAGAGCTGGCCTGGAAGAGGGGCAACCAGGACAGAATCCGGTGCCCTGACCGGGACTAGAACCCGGTGTGCCGGCGCCGCTAGGCGGAGGATTAGCCTAGTGACCCGTGGCGCTGGCCGAAATAATACATCTTATTGTAAGTTTATGTTTATGTCTGTGCAGTGTTCTTCCAAGAAAGATGAGTAGGATTCTTAACCCTAACTAGTTGTTGTAAGAATCAAAGTCGGGGTCAGATACACTTTAGCTCTATTCCCCAACAAGCATTTTCTGGAAATAAGCCATTCAGTTTTTCCATAAATGCTTAATATCACAATTGCAACAAAGGAACAATGATCAAAATGTGTAACATGGGTGTTGATATTAATTGCATGCTTAAAATGACTAGAAAAGAATATAGGTCAAAGTATTAATCCCAAAATTGCTTCATTTTTTAGAATGTAAGAAATGTTTCCTCTTCGAATACATACATTTTAGAGAATATTACCCCTGAGTGTGAAAAACAATAGGAAAAAAATCTTGGTAACTAAAAATGACATGCATCACATCCATTAGAGTGGCTGTTATTCTAAAACACACAGTCACACACACAAAAGCAAGTGTGGCTGAGGGTGTGGGGAAACTGGAATCCTTGTGCACTGCTCCTCCAGGCCAGCTCTCTGCTGTGGCCCGGGAGTGCAGTGGAGGATGGCCCAAGTCCTTGGGCCCTGCACCCCATGGGAGACCAGGAGAAGCACCTGGCTCCTGGCTCCTGCCATCGGATCAGCGCGGTGCGCCAGCCATAGTGGCCATTTGGGGGGTGATCCAACAGAAAAGGAAGACCTTTCTGTTTCTGTCACTCACTGTCTAACTCTGCCTGTCTATATATATATATATATATATATATATATATATAAAATGGTGCTGGCTGTTGAAAACAATATGACACTGCTACAAAAATTAACCATAAAATTAACACACAACCCAGTAGCTCCGATTCTCAGTCATTCCCAAAGGCATTGAAAGTAAGGACACCAATATTTGTACATCTATGTTCATAGTAGCATCATTCACAGTAGCCAAAATATGAAGCAATGAATGTGTCCAGAGATGGGTAAAAGGATAAACAAAATGTCTGCTATAGGCAGAGAATGGGTTGTCACTCAGCCTCGAGGGAGGAAATTCTGACACATTCTGCAATATGAATGAACCCTGAAGATGTCGTATTAAGTGAAGTAAGACAGATGCAAGTGGTAAATATTTTATGATTCCACTTACATGAAGTTCAGGAGTAGTTAAATGCACAGAGTAAATACAGAGTGGTGATTTCTAGGGACTGGTGTGGGGAGAAGGGGAGGCCGTGTTTAATGAGTATAGTTTCAGTATGGGATGGGGGGAGGTTCTGGAGGTAGATAGAGGTAGATGTGGCCCAACAATGTGTAGGGATTCAATGTCTCTGAACCATACATATTTAAAATGGTACATTTTGTGATATATATATATATATAACCACATTTAAAATGTGAGTATCCTGTTAGTTGTATATAAAATACAATACATACTCACAATTTTAAAATTTATAAATATATATAATTTTGATTTTATTTTATCCCATGGATGATGGTAATGGTACCTTAAATTTTATAAACACAACAAAAAGAAAGACTAGCATCTGTAATGTTATAATACCAATCTAAACATTTCATATTTGCAAATCTTAAACGCCCTTATTCCCCCTATGTTGATTCTAATTCTTTCATTTTTGAGTCATCATCCATCATACTGTTTTTTAGAAATGTATTTGAAAGAACAGAGAGAGCAAGCTTCTCTGGTTCACTTTCCAGATGCCTGCAACAGCCATGGTTGAGCCAGGCTAAAAAGGCAGAAGCCCGGAACTCCATCCAGTTTTCCTGCATGGGAGGCAGGGAACAACTACTGGAGCCATAACCTGCTGGCACTCAAACCCAGGGACTCCATTATGGGATGCAGGCATCCCAAGCAGCAACTTAACCACTGAGCCAGACTTCTGTGTCCATTGTAATCTTATGATCTCATTTTAAATTATTTGGTTTTATTTTATTTTTAAAATGCCTATTAATATGTATTACTTACATGTCTTATGAGGTACAGCATAATATTTGTATATATTTCATACACTGATTAAATCAGGCAAGTAACATTTCTATTGCCTTATATTTTTATTTTATTTACTTGAGAAGCAGAAAGACTGAGAGAAACAGATAGATAGACAGTTCACATCTGCTCTTCCATCCCTAAATGCCCACAACAGCCAAGGCCACGCCAGACTCTAAAATGGTCTCCTTTTTTCTGTTCCAGGTACCATAACTTCTTGGGTAGTGATTTTTATTCTGCCCATCAACAGTGCTTTGAACCCAATTCTCTATACGTTGACTACGAGACCTTTCAAAGAAATGATCCGTCAGTTTTGGTTTGACTACAGGCAAAGAAGGTCTATTGACAGCAAAGGAAGCCAGAAAACATGTGCTCCGTCGTTCATCTGGGTGGAGATGTGGCCACTGCAGGAGATGCCGCCTGAGCTCATAAAGCCACCTGTTTTCCCAGACAGGTGTGAGATAACACTCATTTCTCAGCCACCTAGACTCAACTCCTTCACATGACCACTCTGCAGCCCCTTGCTTCACAGACAATGCTGTCTGGTTCTTCTGGAGGAAATAGGAGTAAATATCACAAAATTAATAACCTCTACTAATGGCTAAGACAAATTAGCATACAAGGCCATGAAGACAAAATCGTCCAATGCTCGTGTAAAAGGAAGTAATTACACTGATAATGTGTATATAGTAGCACATATTTTGCATCGCGAATTAAGAGAAATCTACTTCAGAGGGATTCGCGGCTTCTTCTAACATGCGTTTACTGAGTCTCACCACGTGCACGACACTGTGGCGAATTCCTGGAAGCAGACGGTACGGAACCTCGTATTCTGTAAATTGTGAGGAACTCTACACCAAGTCCACCTGCAGCTCCTCATTTAAAGTAGAGCTTTGTCTGTCGTACATAACAGCAAACATAAAAATTATGAACATTTTTAAATAAATGTTTACAGTTTGGATACTCAGTGTAACTACACCAGAGAAAATTTCTGATTGTTTGCGAAATACAGACATTCTGTTTTAAGAATCCACTGCTGTGGTTTGTGTCCTGAGTGTTCCCCATAGTCCTGTGTATGTTGAAGATGGGTCCCCAAAATCTTATGTTACTGGCACCAAGAAGATGGGCGCATAATCCAAGCGTGATGTTTGGAGGTAGGACCACTGCGGGTGGTCACTGAATTGGATTGATGGAGCCCCGTGACCAAATCTTGGTGGCTTTTATAAGAGCCCACATTGAGAAGACAAAAAGTGTGCTCACTGACTCTTAGCGTGTGATGCTCTTACCACACGGGGGCTGTGCCAGCAGGAGCACCATCAGAGGCCAAGCCAATGGGGCCTCCCGATCTTGGACTTGAACCTCCAAAGCTGTGAGCTAAATAAACCTCTCTTTCATAAGAAGCTTGTGTCAAGTATTTTATTGTATTATCAAGAAGCTGACTGATGCATCCTTTTTTTCTTCAAGTCTCCATACACTTGACAGCCAATAAAACAACTTTATGACTGTAAAAAATGCTTTGTTAGAAACTCAAAAATAGCACTTCTCTTTCATTGCCTGCACAATTTTCTTTTTGCTTTAAGTCATCATCATCTTATGAGACTGGAATAGGAGAACAGGAGTCTTGCAAAGAAGAGAATCAGGACAGAATGTGGATAAAGATTTGGATCAGAGGAACAGGACCGAGAGTCCAGAAATAAGCCCTCACATTTTCAGTCGATTGATTCTAACCAGGGTGCCAAGACAGTCATGTGAAGAAGGGAGAGCATTTTGTTTTTTACTTTAGTTACTTGAGAGGTAGAAAGATGGAGACAGAAAGAATTCCCATTTACTGATTTACTCTCCAGGTGCCTGCAATAGCTAGATTTGGGCCCAGCCAAAGCCAGAAGCTGGGAACTCTATACAGGCCTCACGTATCATCAGTGCAGTGACCTGACTACCTGAGTCATCAGCTGCTGCCTCCCAGGTCGCACATTAGTCGGACGCTGGGATAAGGAGCAGAATTAGGCTCTCCGGTGTGGGATGATAGCTCAGCCAGTAGGCCAAGAATCTGCCCAAGAACAGTCTTCTCAATAAAATACACTGCCAACAACTGGAAATCCACATGCAAAGGAGTAAAACTGGAGCCCTGTTTCATACCCAATATTAAAATTAACTCAAAATCAATCAACACACTAAATATAAGAGCTGGAACCATAAAAGTTTTAGAAGAAAACACAGGATGAATCCTCCTCAAGACTCTGAATTTGGCAGTAGATTTCTAGACCATCTAGTCGTATCTAGATGATGTGTGTGTATATATATATATACACACAAATTAGATTTCATCTAAATTAAAATCTTTGTGCATAAAAGATAATACTAACAAAGCAAAAAGACAACCTACCAAAGTGGAATATTTACAGTGATATTTATGAAAAGGGCATAATATCTAGATTTCATAAAGAACTTCTAACTCAACAACAAACTCAAAAATAGGTAACAGACTTGAATAAACATTTCTCCAAAGAAGATATACAAATGGCCAATAAGCCCCTGAAAAGCTCAACATCACTCATCATTAGGGAAATTGCAAGTGGCAGCTTAACCTGCTGGGCTACCATACCAGCCCCTGTGTACAAATTCTGGATACCTTTTAACAAACTGTTATTTCCTTGAATAGATACTTTATATTGTTTTAGCTTTTTAAAAAATATCATAATCGGAGCAAGCTGATTAAAGTTTTAGGTAGCAGCTTCCTTTTGTGAAAAGAACTTCTGAGGCTTGGTTCTTCTCTTCACCTGACAAACTGCTTGTTTGTGTGATTTTCTGTAATGTTAATCCCATAAACAGGACAGTCCACTTTGCCAACTTGTTTCAAAGTGGATGTAGGGGTGCCTTGGTGCCACTGACATAAGAACTAGGCAGTTATAGTTTAAGTGAGCTGGGAATCATTTCTTCCTGCAGAATGTTGCTGTCTCTCTAACTGTCAGTTTGATATGCCCAGCTCTTCAGGATGCACTGTAGCATCCTGGACCAAGGCGTATGCTCACACCTCATCCCATCTGCATATCCAATGAGGTACCACCCCCTACATTATAAAAAAAAAAAAGGAGAAAGGATTCCAAGATGGCTGAATAGGAAAAAGACATGCCGATTTTGACCAGGGAAAGATAACAGAAGAAAATCAAAGGAAGTGCATTTCCAGAGGAGAGTGCGAGAGAAGTTTGCAGTGGAAATTCTACAGAAGCAGAGAGACACCGTGGGGCAGCGCCGACAGTATGAACACGCAGCAGCGAGCAGGGACACCACTCAAAACTCCTGCAGCCAAGGGCCGGAGGAGATGCCAGCTTCTGAGAGCAAACTGTGGCAGCCCTGTCACTAGTGACATTACATGAGGGACACCATTGCACCACACTGACTGTGAGTCCATTCTGGAGCCCTGCAGGGCCCCATGAAAGAAAATCATGTTTATTTTTTCCCATCCCCTGACAAAGCACCTGCCTGACAGCAGGGAGAAAGCACCATCGTAATGCCAGTAGAGGCTATGGTGGCTTTCTCATTTCCCCACTGACTTTAGTCTGGCCTGGAGGGTTGGTGGGGTGCTGTGCACCCACTTAGGACTCTGAGGTGTTCCCCTCCACCCACCCAGTCACAGGCTCCTGGGCTCAATCTGCTAAGGCAGGGTGCCCATAGACATCTGCTCTGGGAATGACTCTGCTTTCTCTGTGGACGGGGCAGGCATATGGGGCTGAGAGTGGATCTGCTGCACCCTGTGACTGTGGGAGCCTTGCACACTATGAATGTGGGGACTCTGTGACTGTGCTATAGAGTGTCGGGTGTAGCTGGGTCTCTGGACAATAACTCTGTCTGGCCTCAGAGGCTCAGAGCTCCCAGTCACTGGGGTAGATCATTGTGGAGGGTTCCATGCTCACACTGAAGACAGCACAGACCCTTTGTGTGGTTCACCCACCTGCATGGGTGGGGGTTGTAGCCACTGTGGGCCAACCATGGAGACTGAATACCTTGGAAGAGAGGAGGTAACCATGCGTCTCTGTTGCTGTGGATTTGTTCTGATAGGAGGAGCTCAGTGGGGGCAGGAGGCGTGGGGTCACCACACAGACGCTGGGAGTCAGGTGAAAGCGGACCAGAGGCAAGCAATAAATTCAAAGAAATCTAGTTCTTTGAAAAAATAAATTGATAAACCATTGGCCGAACCAAAAAAAGAGAACACACTAATGAATAAAATCAGAGATGAAAAAGGAGTAATAACAGCAGATACAACAGAAATAAAAAAGTCATCAGGAATTACTACAAATAGCTGTAAACCAACAAACTGGGAAACCTAGAAGAAATGGACAGATTCCTAGACACACATAATTGAGTCAGAAAGGTGTAGAAAAACTAAATAGGGCCAGCACTTTGGTGCAGCAGGTAAAGCCGCCATCTGTAGTGTCGGCATCCTATATGGCCAGTTCAAGTCCCAGATGCTCCACTTCCGATCCAGCTCTCTGCTGTGGCCTGGGAAAGCAGTAGAAGATGGCCCAAGTCCTTGGGTACCAGCACCCACGTGGGAGACCCAGAGCAAGCCCCTGGCTCCTGGCTTCAGATTGGCGCAGCTCCGGCCATTGTGGCCAATTGGGAAGTAAACCAGCGGGTGGAAGATGTCTCTCTCTATCTCTTTCCTCTCCTTCTTGCTCTATGTTACTCTGACTTTCAAATAAATAAATAAATCTTAATATTAAAAAAAGAAAAGCTAAACAGACCAATAACCAGGATGAAGATTAAATCAGTAATAAGGACTCTCCCAACAAAGAAATGCCCAGGACTGGATGCCTTCACTGCAATATTCTACCAGACATTGAAAGAACTCATTTCAATTCTTCTTTAACTGTTCAGAAAAATTTAAAAGGAGAGAATCCTCCCAAACTCCTTCTCTGATACCAGCTTCACCTTAATGTCTAAACCAAAAAAGATACAAAAAATAAAGAGAACTATAGACCAATACCCCTGATGAACATAGGTGCAAAAATCCTCAACAAAATACTGGCTAATGAGACCCAACAACACAGGAAGATCATTCACCAGGATCAAGTGGGATTTATCCGTAGTATGCAGTGATGTTTCAATATTTGCAAATCAATAAATGTGATACATCATGCTAACAAATTGAAGAATAAAGATGATATAGTTATCTCAATAGATGCAGAGACAGCAGTTGATCAAATACAACATCCTTTCATGATGCAAAGCTTATGCAAACTGGGTATATAGAAGGAGCATTCCTCAACAAAAGGCAATATATGACAAACCTACAGCCAGCATCATACTGAATGGGGAAAAGTTGGAATAATTTCCACTAAAATCTAGAAACAGACAAGGATGCCTACCTTTTCAACTGCTATTCAGTATAGTCCTGGAGGTTTTAGCCAGAGCCATTAGGAAAGAAAAAGAAATCAAATTGGAAAGGAGAAAGGCAAATTATCCCTGTTTGCAGATCACATGATTCTACACAAAGGGGAACCAAAGACTCCACTGAGAGACTACTGGAACTCACAGAAGAGTTTGGTAAATCAGTAGCCTCTATACACAGTGCCACGGCTGAGAAGGAACTAAGATCAATCTCATTCACAATAGTAACAACAAAAAAAAATTCTGGGGCCGGCACTGTGGCCCAGCAGGTTAACGCCCTGGCCTGAAGCACCGGCATCCCATATGGGCGCTGGTTTGAGACCCAGCTGCTCCACTTCCCATCCAGCTCTCTGCTATGGCCTGGGAGAGCAGTAGAGGATGCCCCAAGTCCTTGGGCCCCTGCACCCATGTGGGAGACCTGGAGGAAGCTCCTGGCTCCTGGCTTCGGATCAGTGAGGTTCCATCTGTTGCAGCCAATTGGGGAGTGAACCATCAGATGGAAGACCCCTTTCTCGCTCACTTGCTCACTCGCTTACTCTACCTCTCCCCTCTCAGTGTAACTCTGACATTCAAATAAATAAATAAATCTTTAAAAAAAAAACCTTAAATACCTGGGGATAAATTTTACCAAGGACCTGAAAGATCTCTACAATGAAAATTACAAAACATTAAGAAATAGAAAACACACACAAAAAAATGAGAAATCATCCATGTTTATGTATCGGAAGAATTAATATCAAAAATATGTCCACAGTACCAAAAAGCAATTTAAGGATTTGATGTGATCCCAATTAAAATACCAATGATGGGGCCGGCACTGTGGCTTAACAGGTAAAGCTGTGGCCTGCCTTGCCAGCATCCCATGTGGGCACTAGTTCGAATCCCAGCTCTCTGCTGTGGCCTGGGAAAGCAGTGTAGGATTGCCTGGGTCCTTCGGCCCCTGTACTCATGTGGGAGACCCAGAGAGGGTTCCTGGCTCCTGGCTTCAGATCTGTGCAGCTTCGGTTATTGC